TAATGAATGGAAAGAATTATACAATTCCCGACCTGCACAAAATAAAGTTTTTGCTTTATTAATTGTTCCTATAGCCTATGTTTGAAAAGGTGCAGTAGTGCATACCGACTAGAACGGGCATATAAATGCGATTATAGTGAATAAGTGCTCCAATGTAGGTTAAGTGGGTCAAAATATGCTACTCCTGTTAGTCATTAAAATTCATACACTAGAAACAACTTTCAGTCATGCTTAAGGTGAGTACTGGTGGAGAATTTCGATAGGGAATCATCGACGATGATATACAAATAGACTCCAATTATACGAACTAACGAATGGAAATTAAGTTCCCAGCCAAACAATTTGGTTGTTACCCTTCACCCTCGCCAAACGCGTCATCTGTACGTGTTGTTCTGTGAGTGCAGGCGACCATCATAAAACGTAAATTTCCTAAAGCTAGAAAACGACTACGGAGAAGATCCGCCTGTTGATTCACCCAAAACAAATAGATGTAGCTTGAATGTGTACAAAAACTCCTTCCTATTCTTCAGTTACATCCGAAACTAGCCAGTCTGGTAAGATCTCATGCCATGCTTTAGCTACAATTAGGGATGAAAATACTGTTTCAGCCTAGTCTTCGTACTCACTACACTCTTGGTGATATTTCATTATGAACCAAATAGGTACTACCTTAACACTACCAGCAGAGCATCATACGATAGAATCCAACATAAAATGTATGGGTGACAGATAAAAGAGGGACAGAGGGGAATGCAGGTGTCCAGATTCCTCAGGATTCTGCCTTGTCAGAAGTACAGCACTAGGAAAAGTGAAGAACTATAGATTGTATCGCATATTCTTAGAACCGATAGGGAACTTTGAGTAATTAATGTGGCCACTGGGATGAAAGTTAAGCTAGCTTATGAACACCAACAAACGAAATATACACAGAACAAGACGGCCTGAGAGGTAAAATTATTACAAGCCTCCTTAATAATAATTAAGTTGAGATTCCAGAAACAAATGACAGAACAATCCTTCACTTTGTAACACTTCCATTGCCCTCTTACCACAGATCTGTATCAAATACGATGTACAAAAGTAACAGTAGACAAAAGTAAAAGTACTCACGCGACCCACCACCATTGGCACCAGCATTGCCACCGGAGGCAGGTGCTTGGTGTTGCTTTCCAAGTGGTGTCCTCGCAGCGGATGGACGCGGGTTCTGCAGATTCACATAGGACCGATTGTTCACCGCACCTGTCACGGAGGAGGTCGGATGCGGTGGAGCTGGACCTCCAGTCGCACCAGCGGGTGCACTGGTGGTGGCCGTGGCCACGACTTCCACAGAATCTCCGGGTGAGGATGATCGTGCCCAGAGAGAAATCCCCTGACGCAAAAGCATGCCTGAATCTAAACATTGACTTCCCATGGCGTAGTTTCCCGAACCATTTGCACTTCCACTGCCACCACCTCCAGCACAACTGCGGTGACTAGTAGGTTTGGTGTGACGAACATCTTCATTGTTATACTCCTCATCCTCACACTCAGAATCGTTATCTGCCACTGCAGAAGGCTCCGTCGTCGACGGCATTGACGTCTTTGCTTGATCATCGCTGTGTTCATTGTCAGTGCTGATGGTCTTGGCGGTGTTATGCCCTCCAATAGCGGGGGAGGAACGTGTGGCCTCGTGGGTCTTCACCATACCTGCTGAGAATGCAGCCTTCAAAGCATTCTGCAGAGAAGTTTAAAAAGAATTCCATCAGCACAGAGGTTAAATGAGTGTAAAACTGTTCACGAAATCGTACACATTTGTAATTCTAATAAAACCATACAGGAAGCCGTAAAATAAAATTCATTCTTGCACATGTTTGGAGCTGATCTCACAAAGAAACTTTCAAAGGCATTTCTTAACGTTACAAAAAACGGCTTGAGAATGGAAAAATTGAAATATGGCACTCATATTGATGGGGCATATCGCATAGGTAGTGTAAGCAATTAGACAAAGCAGACCCACTTCGATTAAGAGCAGCGAAATATCCGTGTTTTCATAAAAATCCATAAAATAGGCTACTTAGGAGCCAAAACACGCACTTCCAACAATAGTGCGTGTAAGACCCTATCACAAACAGCAAACATACAAAAAAAACGAGTTGAAGTAAGGCATCATATATGTAATATCAATGCTGATCGAATCAAACATTCAGGTGGAATCAACAACTTTAAATGGCAACGCTAATGATCTCACCAACTCTTCCAAACAATTATACACATAAAAGAAAGCAAACATTCGCAAGTGAAACCAAAGTTGACACGGCTCAAATCCAATAGCGACCCACAGTTATTCACTTATCAGAGAGGGCCACGAACTCACATTCTCTTCCGTGAGTCGTTCACAAGCCACTTCCAATTCGCACAAACGCG